ATATATATATATATATATATACATATATATTTATATATAAATATATATATATATTCCTTTTCCTCGCGCGCGTTTTGTTCAGCGACGGTGGGTTTCATATAATATGACGTACGTTTGCGACGATTTCAACTTGTAATATAAATAATATATACGTTTACATATATCGCGATGATCGTATACATAAGCAGTTCTAACGATTTCTTTTTTTTTTTTTTTCAAATATAATCCTTCTGATCACATTTTATAGGAATGCTTATCATATATATAACTCAACGGAATCGAGAGGATTATATCTGAAAACATACAATCTAACTGTACAGACTACAGAACTGAAAGAACTGATTTGTATCCTTTTCTTCTTCATCAATATATTTGCGACCAAAATAACTGACACTAGATACTAGTGCATCAATTGTCAAGTATCTTTTTACATTTTTCTAAAATATTTTAAAAGTGCTGAAAATGCCATTAAATGTAAAACAACAAATCACTAAAAAAACAAGAAATTTTCAAAAATTTCTTTAAAAATGAAATATTGTTATATTTCGAACACTACTTGATATAAATGCACAGTTTGAAATTACTGCAACGCGGTAATTTCTAACACTGTCGTTAGGAAGACATTAAAAATATTATAATTTTTTAAGCTTAGATATTCGATTATTCTGTTTCTCCATAGAATGGTAAAAGTGATGACGTTATGGCGAATTAATCTGACCATGGTAAATATATATTTCTGATCAAATACGATTGAGGCTGTATTCGTTTCTAAATACACATTACCTCACGTATTAATGTCGCGAAACAATTATCATCGACTATAAATGCGATCGCGCAAAGGAAATAAATACGTCGCCACTGAACAGCAATAAATCAGTACACCTCTTCCGCAATGCGCGTGTGGGAGGATTTCCATCGATACTTTTACACACATAATTATACACGCTTCATCCATACACACAATATCGTAATATCGTAATATAATATCGATAATAACGTTATAATATCGCGCTAGTAACTCGCCCGCGAGCATTAACCGTATTTTTGTTCTTCTCCCCTTAGCTCTTCGTATATCAGGTAAATATATATATATATATATAATCTATTTATTTATTTATGTATATATAATTACTTTTTTGTTCATTATGTATACATGCGTGTACGTATATACATCTACATACATGTATATCATACATACATATACACACAGATGTATACGAGATATTCCATTTTTATCGAATTATCTTATATCGATATAAATACAGATATATGCATCACGTATATATCTGTACGTATATACGAGATGTATATACACATTCAAATTACGTCGCACGCATAAATTTCATGTAAATAACATTCCCCTAATGATGAGACCGATGCGACGATCGCGACTGATTTCTTTCTTTCTTTTTTTTTTTGGCAATCGGTGACTTAATTTAACGCCACGTGGGAAAGGGACGGCGAGAGACGGAGAACGGATGTTGTAAACACGAAATCGTCCATGTGATCCAATTTAATCGAGTTCACGAAGAACGCACATCGAGAGGTTTCGTATTAGAATTTGAAATCGCTGCGATACACAAAGCTGCATTTGTTTAAAAATAATATTAATCACAATCTGAAAATGTCGTTAACTAAGTTGCATTACTTAACATCTTTATAATCGCGTTTTATTTAAATTTGTGTGCACTGTGCATCGAGCTCATGCCATTTCTACGAACATCTCGTCGCTATGGTAATAACATTTTATATAAGCTCGTTAATTATTTTAATAATTATCGAACACTCAAAAGAATTCTGAATAAAGAATGGCTGATAATTTAATTATCAATAAATATAAAATGTAAAAATATATTTGACGACTAAATAATAAACCAAATTTATTTTCTGTCAACATCAAGCCGTCTTATTTTTATTGAATACGTAAGAAAAGTATAGATGAAATGAAAACTTTCTTCAGAAGCGAAACTTCTCAAAGTTCCCTTGCATTATTTCCCTGTTGATTGCTAATATTAGCTCTAAAATGGAGCTTTTAAAAATTGGTAACTTTGGTTAAACAAGATTGTCGTATACACAATAAATTGATAATTTTGGTATAAAGGTATAATAAATAAAGTCAAGAGTGATAAACACCGATTTCTTCTCTTGAACGTTAACATAGAAACATGGAAACCGGAATGGATTATGCGAACGAGTTTAAATGTATTTTATCCCAATAATTGACGACGATAATTGGAATACTAGTTTAGAGAAAAATTCTAGTGGGACTAAAGAGTCAATTGACAAGTAAAACGAGCTGTATCGTACGGCTCGATTGGCCCATATTGCATTTCTTTTCATTTTGTTGATTTATTATTTTTTTCTTTTCATTTATTATGCGTTTTATTTATTAATTGTTAAACACCAGAGAAGCGATAATTAATACTTCGACGATCTTGCAAGTCGAATTTTATTACACAGTTTTATGAAACTTAGATTTTGGTTTAAATATATTTTTTTGGTTTATCTCTGAAAGTCGTTGAAAATTGATTATGTTTTAGTTAAGTCTTTGAAAAATAGTCGAGAGAGAAATATGATAAGAAATGGTAGACAAACGTGACTAGTTTTGGGAAAAAAGTACCCGAAAATACATTGTATTCCGAGAATACATTCCTGAATTTGAGATTTCAAAGGTGTTTATAAAAAGATATTAATACTTTTCTTTGTAATAAAGTTATTTGCATAATATAATAAAGAGTGTCAAAAGTTGTAATAATTCACCTTTTGCGTTGGCAAACGTCCGTTTTAATATAATAAAATAACAATTTTATTAAATAATTATCATTTCTGTGCTTAGAGATATTTTTCAAAGATAAAATTTGAATTTTTTGCTATTTCATATAATTAGAAAAAGTTTTAAAAATGATTAACTATTTGGGTACCTTTTTCCAATCGATCTTGAACATTAATAACGATCAGGCACGAAGAGCAAGCGATATGAATGAAAAAAGTGCATTTGACTTTTTTTCTAGGATATGAAATAGAACATCTTAAGAATATCTGGTCGTGATACAATTTTTTTACAATAAACTGCATGAGTATTCCGTTCAAATTTAGTCTATACAATTTGACGAAAAAGTCGCAGTTTGATCATATATTCTCATTAACATAATATATTTTCATTCTCGATTTACAATATATTTTTTTATTTATGGAATTAGATATGAGAAATTTTATATCCACAATTATTCAATAGTCTTGTCTCAAGAATCAGAATCAAATGCCTTTTTTTATCCACATCACAAATTGAAAATTTGATTATTTATTATTATAATATGCGTCGTTACATACATTGACGCCACTTTCTCATAATCGCATCTTCCCATTCGTTTTAGATTTTCCATTTCTTAAATGTCTTTTGTTATTTTTTTTTTATAGCAGTTTTTGTATATCATAGGAAAATGAGTACACTAATTTAATTCTGAAACTCGTGAAAGAGTTTATAAAAGATTTACTGCCCGATAATTATCCGATTTTCGATTTCATGTTCCGGTAGGAATTTGCTGAATAAAAAGATTGCGCGATTAACGCAATCTTTATTTCTTCTTACATAGAATTAAAAATTGAAATTGATTATATTTTATTATTTTATAATTTTACACACGGCTTCCCGCTTGTGTCGTCATGCATTTAGTTCCATTTGGTTTAATCGACGAGTCCTGATTTTATGGCACGGAAAAAGAGAGAGAGAGAGACAGGAAGATACAAATCGTTTGTCAAATAATCGGTCAAATAATTGGCAGAATCGTTCGCACGTTCGTTCGCTCGTTCGCTCGCTTGCTCACTCATTCGCGCGTACACATCAAGTTTTCTCCTCACGAAGACCGTCGCAGAAAATAAAACGCGCCCAAAACCAACTTTTGCTTTGAAGACGATAACATAAGAGACTAGAATTCAACAATACATACGGTCTTTAATCGCCGTACCAAAAATCGCAGTTGATAAAGTATAAAAGTATAAACAGCTAAACACATGAAAAGCAGAGCGCCATACAGAAGTAATCGCGTGCGTTTATGCGTATGTCAAGAAAACCGAAATTAATGAATTTTTGAACGGAATAATCGCAGACGAGGACAGTTCGTCGAGAAGAGAATCATTAAGTTACGTACTTTCCTACTTCGAAGTTTGCTCTTCCTCGCCGTGTTTGACATTTGAAGAGGCGCTGCGAACGTTTCGCCATAGTTCCGCCAATTTCTATCGAGAAGTTTCAGCCAGATATGTTCTCCCTTATTAATACGGTGGGAAGTTTAACAAATCATTTTCCAAGTTGGATTGCACTTTAGTGACGTAGCTGGGATATATAAGGATAGTCAGCGTTCTCCGAACGATCAAACAAGTCGACGAGATTTTCCTACCGCGTGAATTGTCTCGACGAACGGTGCAAATATTCCGAATTATTCCGACAAATCTACCCCATTTTCTCTTTTTGCCGTGGCAACTGCTTTATGAGATGAGAATAGTCTTTGCGAGAGTGAAAATAATCTGAGAATGTTCTGAGGATTCGAGAATATGTGTGGTATACATATTTCTCTTCTTTTTCAAAATTATCTCGGAATAATCACGTGCTTTCGGGAAAACAGAAACGGTAATATCTCCATTTTGAGAATATTATCCGGGAATTTTGATAATATATTGTCTGAAAACACACGCGATCATTCTCAGGATATTCTAAAATTCTAGTCAGAGAGCATTCTCTTACCTCACATCCTTGGCTACACAGTTCCTGAAACTTAATCGTACATCGATACGACAGAGCCACGCTTACATATCTACTTGTTTGTCTTCTTCCTCTTCTTTTCCGCCTATTTATAATTATCCACTTGCTCATGTATATTATAGATTTATATATATATATTTTTTTTTTATGCACGATGGATATGTATATATCCTTACGTCTTTGTATACATCTGCACTTTACCTATATTTATATATGTATAGTAACGAACAACATTAATGATTACTCGTTAGGCTATTCTTTAATTGGACAATAAATAAAATAGTTTATGTATACACCTCTCCTCGTATATTCCACAGGCCGTAGGTGCCCCTCACAAATAAATGTATCTCTCAATTTTTGCAATCGTCGTGACGTAAAACACTCAAAAGTCGCTGACACGAAAACATGGTCTGAGGATCCCTCCGCAAGAAGAATTTAATTCAACCGATAATCATATATTATGCCTATCTAACGTTTCCTCGATAAATGGCATGCTCGAGCAAATATGTTTATTCAAATTGACCGTTTTTTAATATTACACGGAGAAATATTTCGTATATTACAAACGCGCAATGCGTGCGCTGCGGCATTGCGAATAACTCGCGAGAATTTATGATATATTTCATTTCGCAAAATAGATTCATATTGAATATAGTCGACGCGTTCGATTGGAGATTTATCCACCGCAATTATAATTATTAATCTATTAGCGAGAATTAATATCGCGGTAAGAAGCACGCGAGATAATTCCTTTGTTATTAGAAAATTTAAATCTCTTAAAAAATCTTTTAAAAATCTTTTATTAGTTTCTTTTTTTTTACGCGTTATGATTACGATATTCTCGGATATTTCTCGAGTATAAATTAGCCTCTCTCTAGACATTAAACTTTCTTGCTCGAATCTTAGCTATTGCAACAGAACAAGTTCTCAGGCCACCAACCACGGATGCTGAGCTTCTTGTCGGAGGAATCCTCGACCACCAGGACGTATCACTTGATCTCCTCTCTGCTGGGCGACCTCGGTGGATGCGGCGACAGTGGCATTTCGTTCGGATGTCTCTTGGGCCGGAAGCTGGCCGTCAATGAGGATATCCAGCCGCTTTGCGAGCCGTGATCGTGCAAGGAATCGCTGTTGCTGTTGCTCCGTGTGCTGTCAATGCTCATACCGGATTTAAATCGCGAGAACAGCCCGGCTGACGATTTCTTCGTCGTCGCGGGCGAGCAGAATACGGAATGCTTCTTTCGTGACTTGGACACTTCCTTGCAGAGCATCGAGTCCAGACTGCCGGTGTGAGGACGCTCCTCCGCCTTCTTGGGATCCAGCACGCCCAGCACGGCAGCCTCTGCCGCCTGTTTCGCCATTTTGGAGATGTCCTCCATGCTGGCTGAACTTCTTCTGATTTCCACCTTGCCGAGATCTTCCTCAATATCGCAGCAGGTAGTATCGGGATTGACTATGATTTCAGGCTGTTGTTGGCCCTTCGGACGAACGTCGATCTCATGGAATTCGATGTCCATGGCATGTCGAGTCTTCGTTTCCTTCAGGCTCTGCGACTTGCCCTCGGGATTCGACAAGTTTCTGCGGTGCTTGGAAAACGAACGGGAGCCGGAACTGGCTGCCGGCAATGCTTCCAAAGAGGTGGACGATCTCTTCTCCTTGGCGAATACCGTCCGCCAGCTCTTATTCTTACTATCTGTGGACTTTCGAACCTTCGGCAGAGTCATCGCCCGTTTGTCCACCGGCGACAACTCCACCACAGTTGCGATGGCCTTGCTGCCGTCCTTTATCGCGGATTTAACCAAGTTGCAGCGTTTGCAAATGAACAAGGAGTGGTGGTGTCTCGACGAGGTTGCCGAACCACTGCTAATCGAGTTGCTCTTGTTGAGCATCTTCGACGCATGCTTCGGTTTCGGACTAGGCGAATCCTTGGAGTCGAAGCTCATGCTCAGGCGGTCCGTAAAGTTCCTCAGTCGCGAGAATAGAGACTTGTTATTCGGCCCAGTCTTGTCGTCGCAGCAACATCGCAGTCCGATCGATTCCCGACTACTGTGCGCATCTCTGCGGCTTGGTCTGTTCTCCTGATCGTTCTCTATGACACTGCTGATTTTCCTCACGTTGTTCTTCGGTTGCGAGGGGGCCTCCGCCACGACGACATTACCGTTTCCCTCGGGCGTCTTACTCTCAATCTTGGCGTCTAAAAAAACCGTCTCCCTTTCCATCTCCTCGACAATCCGTGTGCCTTCGGCAGACCTCGCGCTCACCGGTGAGCTCAGATCACTGCCGAGATTTTCGCCCCTGCTGCGTCTCCTCTCGCGATCGTGATCACGAACGGCCTTGGCCAGGTCGTGATTGTGATAATCCAACGAAGACTTTTCCCGGCTACCCTTCCGACTACCGGGATAGCTCTTCCGACCGGTGTTGGAGCCGGTCAGTATGCCCTCCGTGGAGATCTTAAATTTGAGCGTCTTTTCACTGATCTCCACCTCCGTGGCGGTCTCCGGATCGGAGCTCTCGATATTTTCCGCCTCCTCCATCGTCAGGTTTTCTGTGATATCGTCGTCGGTGGATCGCGAACGCGAATGAATTGTCGTGGCAGACCTTTTTGAGCGCATGCTATGCGACGACGTAGATTTGATAACGGTGGAACTACCGGTACCGATTGGCGCGTTGGACAGGCCCGACTCCCCGACGTCCACGACGCTCTTCCGATGATGGCGCTCATCCTTCGCCGCCTCGTTCAGTCTGCGATAGTACTCTAGAGCTTCCCTGACCGGTTGAACTATGAGATCCTGAGAAAGCAGAATTTCATCCGGATTTAATTATGCGTATTTAAAAATCAATATAACTTTGCCTAATTATTTAGTGCTAATTACTTTCAGGCAGATAGATTAGTATATAAGAAGTTCAAATACCTGCAGCTCCGGTAGAAGTTCGCCGAGGGCTTCGAAGAGAGGGAGGAGAACTAGACCGATGAAGCTAACTTGGGAGGACGGCTTGGTCACTTTATCGCGATCCATGAAGGGCGTGACCGGAAGACCCTCGAGCTTCTCCGCGTCGCTCTGCTTGAAGAACTCTTGAAGCAATCTGTCTAGCCACGGTTCCGCGACTTCCATCGGTCGTGCCTCGTTGCTTATGTCAGCCACCTTGATCAGGATCATGGACAGCTGCGAAACGTAATTAAGGGATTATGTCGGTTCGATTAAATATTTCATTAAATACTACATTAATCGCCGGTGGATTACCAGATTTATGTGCGCCTTGCTGGTGTAATCGAATTCGGTAGTGGCGTCGGTGAATTGGCCCAGGATCTCGTTGTGCCGAGCCATGTCGGTCGCCAGAATACACCTTATAATGCCCTCGCGTACTATTCTGTACGTAGGATTGTCCAGGGACGCGAGGATGTTGCACTCGGGCGCTTCCAGGACCCGGAATGCCACGGAGCAATGGTGATTCTCCAGGGGCGAGATATCGTTGTAGCGCAACGCCAGCTCAGTCCGCGCGTTTATCTGATAGATATTATTGTAGCCCGGATGGTCGAGATCGTGGCAGATACAGGAGACAATCAGTATGAGAACCTCGAGTTCGCCGATTTTCGACGGAAGGTCCACCGCCCAGGCTATCGCGTACATCTGGATACAATCGATTAGCACTAATAACGAGCCGATAACTCAATCCGATCTGCAGCTATGCCGGGGCATAACGCCGTGCATGTATTTTAATCGATCGGGAAGTAATTTAATGATATTGTACTGCAGAACAATGCGAGTACGCCAATTAATAGGTGTAATCAAACTATTAGTGTCCGTCGCAATTACATTATTGTTTATCACGCTTATATCAACATTATACATTTCCTCCCGTATCAACATTTAATTACAGGCCACGCTGCCACACATAATTGTTAATTATCCTCGCGAGAAAATCGTATTAGAACAGTACGAAGAAGACGAAAGAATATTCACCATTTGCGCCACGCAGAAACAATGCCTGAAATTGTGAAACGGCACCTCGTTGTAGTTATTGTAGACCTCGTAGAGGAAGTTTCTCAGAATCGGCAAGGGAATGTTGAATTTTTGAGGTAGGTCGAGCTCGACGAACATGGTCTGCAGCATCAGCAGCAGCTCTTCGTCTTCCCACTGTCGTGCGTCGAAGGCCGGTGAGCGTAACCACTCGCGAACGCTCGACGAGACCGACACGTCACTAATAATGGCACAAAAAAATATATACAATCATTTTTTAACAAGTCGATATTTTAATATTCGTGATGGGTGTGCGCGCGCGTGTGTGTGTTGGCATTATTAACTAATAATTATTTAGACATGTTTAATTAAATTATTTTATTAAATGAGTTAATATTAAGAAAATGAAAAGTTGATAAAAAATGGAAAGCTAGCACTATGATTGATGACTATTCAATTAACGCCTGTCATTTTTCATCACAGCGTCATAACAGTCGTTCATTTCGTCATTATTATTAAATTATCGCCTCGTTACCAAAAGCCTTTCATCTATCTTGTTTTACTTAGAGAAAAGCTCTGAAATAAATGAGTTTGAGAGAATATGAGACAAAATTGTTAAACATACACGGAGAACTATGCTAAAATTGATCGATTCGCCGAGTGGGCAAGTACCGGAGCGTTAATTGCCGCGCGAAACTTCGCACCCGCGTCGGCAGTGGGTCACCCAGGCACGCGGGATTAATCGGATTAATTGGTGGAGTACTTTGGCCAACAGCTCTTCGCTACTTTGACAGATAATGGGTTATCCGCTCGTGCTGCTAAATCAACATGGGCCTAACATACGTCGAGAGACGATCGGGATTGTATCGGACGCGGCATCGATTCGCCGACGTTGAGTACTGTCACTTATGTCGCCTCTCGCGAGAATTAGCGACGTGCATAAGAGACGCGATTCCCGTAATAATTTCCGATAATATACTCGACTCGCTGTAAAATCACTAAATCCACTGGAATCAATCGGACCACATGTAATGTGAAATGTCGCGTCACGACATGATAAAATTGCATAATTACGTCATTCACGTGTCTTCGAGTAATATATTACAAAATAATATTTACATAATTACATACTGTATCTCAGCGAATGATGTTTAGTTGCAATTACTTTTTATTACGCTTACTTTTTATGTTATTTGCAAATATCGTATAATTAATAAAATGTAGAAGCTTTTTGTAGTTTCCCACATCTTTCCTAACTTTATCCGAAATTTTTACGATCTTCCCATCTTATAGAAACGTTCGTCATTTAGCTCATCGTATACACGAAACCGCGCAATTAGCGGAATTCCCGTACAATAATGATCGTACAACACGTAACATCGTAATTAGAGCTCGAATATTTTCTTTTACCGTATTAATCCTCGAACGATAGGTAGCTAAAGGAGTAGCTGAAAAAGAAATAATGATTCTCATTTCAAAGTAATAAAAGTACAAATGGACAGAAAAAAAAATGCCGTTTCTTTGAAATGGAGCCTTTGACAAAAGGTGGATGACGTAAACAGAAGATGCCCCAGAAGCGTCTTATGTTCTTTCAGCCGCGCGCAGGGCGACTGGAGCCGCGAAAAGCGGTCTTGCGCGAAGGACACCTTTACGGTGCGCGCTTTACGGACGCTTATTTGCTGACGACCGCTAATTGGCAATTCGCCGGCATTTAGCCAGCACGTCGAATCACGGTGCGCGCGATAATGCGTGCTTTGTGACGCGCTCCCCATTATACACGCCCCAAACCGTGACGGGCCTTATTACCTAGATAACGGTAACTTAATAGCATTTCGCGGTAACGCGACAGAGGCCAACCTATAACCACCGTCGGAGGGCCCGTCACGGCGAACGGAAGCGCGCGGAAACCCGCGGGTGAATGGAGGTGTTATATGTGTGCACAACGTCCCCGGTGTTTTCTCAAGACCGGGAATAGGCCGGTCATTTCGCCGTACTCTTTCATTTACACCTTTCAATGTGTGCCAGCATTCCCGCATCTCTTCTGTACGTTGGCACGTTCTCCTTTAGAGAACATTACTGATATAAATCTGTTAATTGCTGCGAAATCACGGCTCGAATTTTAATGCAATATTTACCAAGTGTCGTGCACGTTTTCATCGCATTGATTGTTGTATTGCACAAGAAATTCTTTGTCGCGAAAATCATTATGGACGAAACGATATTCTATTATGAATTTTGCTTATCTGAAATACATAATAGAAGTAAGTGTAGCAATTACAGTTCAACGAAGCGTGATTTTTCGAGGTAAAAAATATTGTAGAGCAGTGGGCAAATCGACAATTGCGACATGTTTAACCAGGGAGATGATTTCTTGATGAAACATGCGGAACAGATTTTCCCATGCATTTTCCAGGAGGATAATCTTGACGATCGGAGTCATTACTCGCGTAACTAGTTTTTCCGAATATCTCGTAAGTACAGAAACTCGTGACGTAGGAGGGTTGAACGGGGACAAGCCGGAAGACGGGAAACGATTATGGCACACGGCGTTTGCAGCTCCGTCTCGATGAGGAAGCGCCCCGCCCGGAAGCAGCGCACCAACTTCTCCCCGCTACGGCCATAATCGTTTGCGAGGAATCGCTGGTAAATTGTGGTAAACGGCAGCCCGGTTTAATGCACCGTACCGAATCGCCGCAAGTATAACGCTTCGAAGGAACAGAAACGCGTCACGCCGCGACTACCACCTAAATGGCACGATTTGCATGTCGATGCGACGTTCGTGACTACTGCCGGAGACAGAAACAATCGGAGAAAACATTTCTAAACACCATTCGCTTTATCTCGCTGATCTTTTCCACATACCACTAAATATCCTCAATAATTTTCAAATTTGTATAGAAAAAGTAAATATAATAATCACGCGAATGAATATTTGAATGGTACGCACCGATTAAATTGATTAATTCTTATTGTTAATGAGATGATACAATTAACAGATAATGGAAGTTAAATTAAACTCAACTAAATTGAAAATCGCAACGTTGTGAAAGCTTTATACACAACTTTATATAATTTTTTATAGTCTTTCTTGTTATGAAAAAAAAAAATTATAGTATTTAGAATCGAAAAAAAAAACAATTTAAAAGAATTAAGCATGTATGATGCGAAAATTTTGCACAATACATCATCAATAATTTATATGAATCTCACAGTATCTCTTAAAGTTATAAAAAAAATTGTTATTGGTATAAGGATGAAATAATATTAATGAAAGCATAACGTGCTTGTGCCACTTGAGATTAGCGAATTAATACGGCCAGGTTCTCCAGTTCGAATGCATCTGCATAAGAATGTGGTACTTCGAGGCGAAATGGGATTGGGCCTCTTAAGCCGCCGAAATAACTTGGTGGCTTCGCGAGAGAGAATCTCGGAAGACTTTCGGAAATCCTTCGGAAGTCCTAAGATCCCCCGCTCCCGACCCATTTGTTGATTTTTCTCCGAGAACTTTCTCTCCTCTCGGACCGATGATAAATTACGGAAGTTTAATTGGTGGCAAAGTTTAACGCGCCTACGTCACATTTGTAATCATGTTGTTACACTTTGCACGACGTGAAATATCCCCCGGAAGTTGCCGGATGAAAATTTACAGCGCGGCGCGATGCCATTTGCGCGACATGCGGGAATCATAATGGTGTTTAAGGGGGTTTACTGCATTACCCGCTACGCCCGATTCGCGCTCGTTGTCATTATTACATTCATTTTGATATTGATTCCCCCGGACATCCTAGTCAGCCGATAATCAGATTACGTGCCACGTATGCAAATGAATCTCGCAATCGTGCAACAGCTCTTCGGGCGCGATGTTTTAAAGCCCCTCCGAGCCAAATGAACCGCAAGTTTATCGCTTCACTTGCGTCACGCTACGCTCTATGAATATAAAGAAGAAAATTACGTTGCAAACACGACAAAAGGCATACACACACACACACACACACACATATATATATATATATATATATATATATATATAAATTGTATATATGCGATGCATATGCAGAAGATACTTCACTGCGTAATTGTTTCGCCTAACAGTTTTTTTTTAATCTCTCGTGTCGCATATTAAATCCGGTGACATGCGCGCATTCAATCTCACTAATTTACTAGTCGCGCGGCAGACAGAGTTCAGAAAATTACTCCATTCTAGTATTGGGAAATTGAAAGCTTTCCGGTGATTGCAGGAAAAGCGAATAAAAAATTATAAATTCATCTACACTATACATTTTCATGAAACGTAGTGAGAATTAGCTCTAAGGCTGCACTCAAATCTCAAAGCTGTCGATACGGGAACGAACAGTTAAAGACTTCGCGCGAAGTCTATTACGCGGAGGATCGATCTTCTTGAATATATCGATCCTTTTAAATATCATATTCTTCCGCTCTTTGCGCGGAAGGAAACTACAGCGCGGAGATGCGCTGAAAGTATTACAAAGGTCTCTCGTGATTTTCCCGGCCGAGCTGCGCGATACGCGTCTAAACGTGCTCCATAAAGTACTCCAACGGTAGTGCCCTCGAGGGTGGAAGGTTAAAGTTCTTCAGGGTCTCTCTCTCTTTATAGCGCCCGGCTTGTCCCGTATTAATGTACGTGGAATCACACGCGCGTATTAAGGCGCTTTAAAAACGCACACAAAGTCTTTGCTTGCTGTGTTACGTGCTAACAATAATGGGTATTGTATAAAGAATCCGGATTTTACGCGGCTGAATAACTGATTTTAACGGAGCGGTTTCAGCGTTCTTAGAGCACGCTTTTTTTCCCCTAAAAGGTTAACGCGTAAGCCGTTTTATTAAAAAAAAAAATTATTCGGTCGGCAAATAATTGTGGAAGAATTTGAAAACTAACATTTTAAAAATTTATCTCAGCTGAACGTTGTGCATTTAAAAAATATGCATAGCTTTTTAACTCCTATTTTACACGGTCTTCTCCTTTGTTACGGTCTCACCTTTTTCTTTTCTTCTTTTACGCTTAAATTGACTATCTAAAATGAATTCTTCTTGCGAGAAACATGAAAAACGTTATTTCCTCATACACTTCGTTTTCTTGAAAATAACTCGAGAAAGTCAACATCTCAGTGCGGACTACAATTACCGCCGCAATATCTTGCACCGATCGACGAATTTGCCGATGCGATATCGGTCTCTCCCGCAAGTTCACCCGAATGACGCTTTTCGTTTCAAGGCGATATC